ATGCCATTTTTTGGCCCCGATACCGATACCCGATACCTGGCTGTGAAGTATCGGCCGATACCGAATACCATAATAATGTAAAATAATTGCCATCATGGCTTTTTCAAGCTGCTGCCTTCCTTTCATCGGCTGAAGCCGCCATGTTCTTTAGACTAAAGTGTCACGCTTCTCGTTGCGTCACACCTCAATCCGCCTCAAAGCCAACTCTGATTGGACGTTCGTTTGGTGAACGGCTCCAAATTTTCTTTAAAGGAGAGTCTCCAGACTGATCTGCGAGTGAAATCTTGAAAGCTTGCGGGATCAGGATTAGCCTGGGTGCCAGTCAGAACTTAGTCCCGCCCACAAGGTTTGAGTTCGGGGAAGTTCGGTCTGGCTCTGCTCCATAGTAGCGCGAGTATTAAAGCCCACTGTCAGGCGATCCAATCAAATTGTCAGGGCGGGCTTTATACGATGATGGACAGATGATCAAGAGTAACGTTATCAACCACGTGACCAAAGCGCGCTTGGGTGACAACAATAATGGCTGCCGCTGGAGAGTTGAGGTGAGTAGATTCTGCTATTAGGTCTGTTCTAGAAGATATCGACAGCAAATTAATTTTAAAAGAGGAACAGAGAAACGCGATCAAGTCTCATCTTCTTATTCTAGGCGTGAAACTGCACGCTTTGATTTTTGTGGACAACAACTATGCCTCGCTTAACATACGTCACGCACTCCGTTGCTCTTATTGGTTGTAGGTCTATCCAATTGAGTACAGAGGCATTTTTTTCCTGATTCGTTCAAAACACGCCCCATAATCACAGCTCTATGGAGCAGCATCAGACTCATATTCTGACTAGAATTGAGTCGGACTACGTCAGGCTAGATCAGGATGACATCGGGGAAAAAAAAAATATATATATATATATATTTATATATACATATATATTTAACCTTTAAACTTGCTCAATGCACCTTAGAAAACTTTTTTGAAATTACACATTATGTTTTTCCTGTATTTTTCAACAAAGTTTACCATATATTTGTAATGGAAAAATAGCTACTGACACTATGTGATGACCAGTTTGTTCTTCGTTTACTATATACATTCTCAACTGTGATTTCTTTAGGTTGAATTAGTAAGAAATCCGTCCATTTTGTAACACTTATGTTTAAAATCATCACTCATTTTTTGCAATTTCTTTATGAAACTACATTTACTAATCAAGGGCATATTTTGTATTTCTTTTTTTTAATTAAAAACCCCTTCCATGTCAGCAAATGATGATGTCTGAAAATAAAAGGAGTGAATTTTTTATTTTTTGTATTGCCATAGATATCCTTTATAAAAATAAATTAAGTGTGATCTATTATGTTTTCTGCTTTCACAAAGAATTAAAGGTTGAATTACTGAGCTCCCACACACAACAGATTTGCATGCTAGAAAAACGTGTATTGCCAGCCAATTCAACAGATGGCAACATGGTTTATTTTAAAGAAGAGTGTGTTGGATGAAATGAGCTTAAAGTCGATGCTAAAGAGAGATTTATTTCACAGGATTACTTGGAAAAGCTCAGTGTCTAAAACAGTCATTTATGATGGAAAAACCATTTGCTAAACGAGTCTATTTTTTTAATAAAGCTTCACTTCTCTGTAAATGATAAAATTATTTTAAAAGAAATAAAAAAAGAAGTCAAAAATTGATGCAAGATTAAAAGACTTCTAAGAGCTTTTATGGTAAATGTTTTGTGTTAAGATAAAATATCATCTAGTATGCATTAAACACATCACTTACTCTTATTCATCGATGAAAACAATAAACAATAAAAACACATTTTAACTTGCATATTTTCTAAAGTGTAAAACTCATCCTTAAATCGATGGCAATTTTTTTTAATCTGCTGATCTCAGGAAAAAGGCAATTTTGACGAGGTTTTATCACCTGTAATTTTGAGCTGGAAATGGGATAAAAAAAGGTTTTGATAAATCTGAGAGCTTTTCTAAAGAATCTGACCCTCTAACTTTGAGTGACCGGCCAAAAAAATAAGCTTACTGTGTCATATATATATATGAATTATTTTTTTAGCTCAATAACTATTTTATTTTTATCCATTTCAAACTGTATTTGTTAGTTTAATAAATATTTATTTTACATAAATACATTAATTCATTCACAAAATATTCTACTGTACATTTATTTTTAATCAGGACCTGTCATTAAATTCCAATAACAAAGGTGTTTCTAGAATTTCCTTGTTTCATCTGCGAAATATTTCAAAAATTAGAAATATCCTTTCTAAGGGTGATGCTGGGAAACCAGTCCATGTATTTTTTTATTCAAGGCTGGACTATTGTAATTCTTTACAATCAGGAAGTCCACAAACTGTAGTTTAAAGCCTTCAGCTGATCTAAAATGCTGCAGCCAGAGTTCTGATGAAAAATTTAATTCATATACAGTATGTATGTGTATATATATATAAATTATATATTGGATGTATAGAAATACAAAATGACTAAAGAATTGACAAATTAGGACAAAAGTATATATTTTTTAATGCTTTAAAAGTTGCAATGCTTTATTAAAAGAATATTTATTAATGCTTAATTCAGAACAGCATTTATTTTTTAACTTTCAAATGCATAGTTTCTATGCTCCACTTATCTGGAACAAACTTCCAGAAAACTGTAAAAGTGCGGAAAGCCTGAGTTCCTTTAAATCAAGACTAAAAACACATTTGTTTAGGATTGCCTTTGACTGTTCTAGTTAAACAGTTCAACTGAAACATATTTTCTTTAGTCCAACTGTTTTTAATATTCTATTTTGTTTCTGTATTTCTTTATTTTATTTTTTCCTACTTGCTTTGATTCTGTTTTATCTTCCTGTATTTTAATCATGTAAAGCACTTCGCATTGTCTTTGTACTGAATTGTGCTATACAAATACATTTGCCTTGCCTTGCCTTGTCTTGCCTTGGAACAGCTTTACATCTGCTAGTAATCTCTTCTTAATGTAAAGAATAAAAATGTCACATCCTAGATTATTAAGGTATGAAGTTAAGATCAAAAGTGTTCAACAGAAAAACATGACTGAAATGTATGAAGAACAGGTAATTAGGAAGGCTGCGTCCATCTTGGATAATTACACCCATCCCCTACATAGCAAATTCCAGTTTCTACCCTCTGGTTCCCGTTTTAAATATCCACCAGCTCGGACCAGTAGATGCAAACATTCCTTTATCCCCTCTGCTGTTCAGCTGCTAACTAGGAAAAGCAGATAGTTATATGTTGCATGCATGCATGCATCATATGCATATGCATGTTCTTCTCTATTTTATCCACCATACTTTTATCTTTTTATAATATTTTATGTTTCTTTTGTTTCATTTTTTTTTGTTTTTTATTCATTTATTTATATTTTTATTTGTGAAATGTGAATGTGTGCGTGAAAGGTGTACTACTACTGCACAAAAATTGCCCATACTGGGACAAATAATAGCTACTGAACTGATGAAAGCCTGCTCTTATTGCCTGAGCCTTTGAAAGAAATTTAATGCCATTAAATATACATTTCAGTCAGGACAGATTCAGTTATCCAACCTGACGCAGCTTTTGTAATAGACTGTATTCCAACATTTAAACTGTACATCTGAAACCAGAGAAGGGACTCATAGGTACCATTAAACCCAGAAAAAGTGAGTGGTCAGTGCACTAAATGTCTTAATGTTCTCATTTATTATTCCACTATAGTATTAAATAGCCTTCTGTTCTCATAAACCTTTCTTCAAAAGGTTAAAGCCGTATGTCTGCAGGGCGAGCGCTGAAAGTGTACGATGGATTTTTTTAACAGTTAGCAGAGTTTACTATTACTTTTAATTCAATGTGAAAAATGGTGTCCATTAAAGCCTTCTTACAAAAGAAAATGTGAACCTGCAGCTGTGTGTGTGCGTTTCTTTTTAGATTTTTTATCATAATATAGCGGAGACAGAGTGGAGCTAGTGTGGGAGGAGGCCTTGAACAGGAGACAGGCGGCATATCTTTGCTTCCCGTAGGAAGTAAAAATCTAAGCTCAGCTGTGATTCAGTGAGCAACATTTCACAGGTAAGGTAATGATGAAAGCTGAGGAAAAGAAATGAAACAAAAAAAATATTGAGACAAGTAGGAAGGAGGAGAGGAAACAGTTGAAACATTAGCACATGTCGGGAAACACAAAGAGGAGGGGCACAACTGGATATTGACTATCACTGTCAATTAATGAGGTATGGAGGGCCAAAATGTATCATGAAATAAATAAATGTACTGATTTTTAAGAGTACTTGTATTTTAGATGATAGATATTATTTATTTTGATTCAAATATTATAGAAAATAAACCATTAACTTATAAAATGTAAAAATGAATATTTAAATGTTCCATTAAATAGTAATAAAATAGAATGGAAATACAATAAAAAGTTTACAAACCCTTGTTCTAAATCAGGTGTTCTCATGATTTGGATTTTATTATCAATTTTGGGTACTGTGACGTATATGAAGGATAAATCCTATTATACAGTAAATAAAGTTTATCATATTGAATTAAATTATATTAAAACTATCTATTTTTCAATCTATAATTTTGGTTTCTTAATATGCTGAACGGTTTGGGAACAACTGCATTAACAAGTACTGTTTGTATTATGAGTCCAAAGGAGCAGGATGTTGGTCGACATGCAAGGCTGGCAGGAAGAGATGCCAAAAAATAATTTACCTCCTTTAAAAAAAAAAAATAAAAAATAGTTTTTACATGTTTGAATTTATACATACAGTATATATATAAATATCCATAAAAGATAAAAAAAATTAATGTAAATAAAAAAAGGAAAACAGAAATGAACACTTGAAAATCAGCTGGGATTTTTTTATTAGTTCTCTGCTCCTGAATGTTGAATTAAGACTCAAAGTCTGTTGAGGAAACTGTGACACCAACTTTAAAAAAAGGAATGCTGAAGTAGAGCTTGACATTAAGACATGGCTCAAAACATGTCT